TGATTTCCAAAAAATTCTGAATGTGCCTTTGCGGGTCTTCATGAGATAGACCTACATATTGCCCGGTGGACTGAATCAGCCGTACCATGTACTGTTTAAGCTCAAAGTAACCAGTGATATCAGGCTTCACAATAGCCTGAGTCATATTAGCAAGATTTAGCCTTGCAGCTTCTATCACTGGACGCCCTCCATTACCTGCCATCATTGCTGGCTGTGGTTGAACTAAGATGTCCAACGCTCTTTCTGTTTTGTATCTAGCTTCCAACTCTTTCCTTGACTTATGAAGTGTCCTTTCAATTTCAGGATCAAGAGGGAAGAGATTGCTTGTGCTTCTACTCCTCCGCATTCAAGAGAAGAGCATGCGTGACACAAACAAAGTGAACTGAAAATTAATGCTTAAACCAATAGCTGATAAAAGCTTAACTCAGTCAAGTAGCTAATTTCAAAGTCCCCGGCAGCGGCGCCAAAAACTTGTTGGGACCTAAACACTCACGCAAGTGTACGCGATCGACAGGTAATATAGTAACAAGTAAAGTATCGTTCCCACGAGGACTTGTGATTAACTTATCAACTGATGCAAACTCAAACAATTAACGATTTAAGCTAATTCCTTACAAAATAATAAATAACCAACTTAAAACTTGACTGATAATTTAACAATAATACTACACAAAGTTACTACACCACTTATACAATTTTCTTTTAACAATTAATAAGAGAGATATTCCGGGGTCATGGGCTTGCTAGAGATCATGCTACACTTTTAGCTTAAAGATAATTTATGGAATTATCTAGGTTATTGATTATAGGGTTAATAATACCCATAAGAATCTATCAATTTCTTATGCGCCTATTCAAGTTAAATTAATACCTATATTTCTATGGTATTAATATTAACTCAAATGCATTTACAAATCCTATTTCTCAACCAAGCAAGGCAATTAAGTATAGTTCTATCTTAATTGCGAATCTTTCACCCGATGCCCAGGATCCGGATCTTGCTCTATTTGATTCTATATGCAATCAAGAATTTCCTTTTTCAAGTTTAANTGTCCCATGCTCTTGATTCTTTTCTTGTTCTTCCACCATAATTAGTTCCGAGGGGTTTTTTATTGCTCCAAAATGGTTCCAATCATATTTGATTTACGTAATATAGGCTTCTTTACCTGAAATATATACAATTCACTATTAAAGCCCATAATTCATCAATTAATCACAATATATCATTGGAATATCATCAAGCAGAAGCATAAACAAGAGCTAAATCACTTAGATTTCGATTATTATCATCCATCCGAGCATGAAACTCCTTTGTATTTTGATCCATCTGTTCGTTCATTTCCCTCAAAAACCTCATGAGCTCAGTTTTGAAGGGGTCATTCCTATTGTCATTCCCATATCTGCTATTGTTTCTCCCGGCACCATTGAAATCGACTTCACCCCTTGGGGTGTTATTGTTGACCCTCTGAGCCATTTGATTTGCAGGAACACTGGGAGGAACCGGACCCCTTCTATTTGTTTTATTGGAAGCACCTGACAACGCTTTTTTAACTTTGTCATTACCTGGTTCTGCCTTGAGATGTGACTAACTCATGATTGCTTTATGTCGTTCTCTTAAGATTTTCACTGTTTCCACGACATGTTCCTCCTCCGCATCATCGGGATTTGTCTCACGCACGTGTTGGAGGTACTGCACCCTTCACGAATCGGGGTTGTTTCATCCCATTCGTTACGGGTGTCCTGATTGAGTCATCATGTTGAGGCAAATCTTTGTGCCCCTCTACATTGTGTGTGATGTTGACATCATTAGCTATCATATCTAATTTCTTACTAGGGAAAAAATCAAACAAGTTAGTGACAAACGTAAGGATCAAAGCAATTGCGCAACTGTCTAAGCCCCACGGTGGGTGCCAAACTGTTTACCTATAAAATGGTACATTTAAATTTGTTAAGTGGTTTATAGACAGGCGAACTGATTTGATCCAAAAATGACAAAGAAATAAGATTGAAAATGAGATTTAGCAATTAAAATTGAAGAAGATGACAAGCCTGGCTCCGGGCGCAATATCTCCGGGGATAAAAGTGAAAGCAATAATAAAGCAAGTAAAGTTGTTTGATTGAAAGCAAAAGTAAGATATAGCATATGTTTGCAAGTAATTTCCTTCCTTACAATGGCTATTGAACCTACTATTTATTAGCTTTATCTAGGGAAGTAAGATTCTAAGATCAAGCTCCTCTTAAATGATAATAAAAGGTGTCATTAATGAATATGTAATGGCAGATCATAAATGCAAATATTCTCCGTAATGGTTGTCCATTTAATGTTAGAGAATATTCTCTCATTGAATGTTATCCGATGGCAAATACTCGATCTGCTCCCCTTGGCTACGCTCCCTTCAGGATTTACCCCATATCGTTTCTAATTGTTGTATCCGGTACTAGTTGTTACTTGACTTGCCTTTTACCTATTTTTGGTTTCACGTGTCATGCTACCATTCGACCATTTATTATAAACCTATTTCGGTTTTCAGGCAGCTGCAAAATTCTCTTGTTTACACTTTTTCCCTATAATCCTGCCCCCATTTACTTAATCAAGTTTTAACCTTGTGCATATAGGATATATTGTGTAAAGGATAAACAAAGTTTGGTCAAAGAGTCGCCTTTTATTAAATCAAATTTGTAAAGTCCTTTCTGCTAAATCTTCTCGAATGGGTTGTACAGACATCCAAAAATGAACCAAACATGAACAAACACTGCGTGAAGTTCTTAGAATCTAGCGATGGTTTTTGATTTGTCACACATTAAATAAGTCTAGAAAAGTTTGCTACAATCATCAAAAATAAGTAAATAATAATAGCCTAAATTTAACCGAGCAGGAGCACGCCAAATATTTGCACTTTTTTGAGTCAAATACAAAAGAGAACCGAGTTTTGGTGGCAACCGCCCGAGAGAAATGCAAATCTTCATAAGAAATCCAAACGATTTTCTAAGATTTAGATCAAAAAGCTACATACAAGAGCAAAATCTACTGTTAAAGGTCTATTTAGAAATACAAACATGAGACTCTCTCCAAGCGATGCATCTTTTCCGGCCCATAATGCATTCTACAGGTCAAAAAGCTACATACAAGAGCAAACAAGATTAGCAAATGAAAGATATTTCTACAAATGAATGGTGAGCAAACCGATTACCATCTATAAGGATACAGTAACAGCACAATGTATTCATCTGACTCGTCTTCTCTCCCTGGATCTGTCTCTACTATCGCCATCCCTCTCCCTGATTCCTCTCTTCCTCTCCCGTCCACTGTCTCTCTGTTTTTCACTTTCTACATCGTGAACTCTTTCCCTCTCTCGTCGTTTTTCCTTGTCTCTGTTCACATCATTTTCCCCGTCTCTGCTGGAAGATTTCCTCTGAGGACTTTCACTTCCGCTTCTGCTTCGATGACGTTTCCTTGAAGTTTCCCAGGGATCCTCTCTCTTGTCCCTCCTCTCTGAAGTTGACCTACTCGCTGTTCAATTTGGAAGAACAGATACAATACAGGAATTAGTTTCAGCTTGAAGGCAGAAAGTAAAGCACCTTCACATTGGTAGGTGTGCAGACAGCAAAATTTTGCTGTGTCTATTATCTGGGAAATGTACATCTATATATTAATGTAACAAAGAAGATGATTAACAGTCTCAAGAAAGAAACGATTCATCTCATACATGCCCTCCAAATAAGGTATAAACTATGAGGAATCTCATAACTGTTGGCAATAAACATTAAACATCACTGCCTTCACAAAAAAAAGAAGATGAACAAGTGTTCGAGGCATGATATTTCAGTCAAAAGAAAAAAGGATATCTGATAATATTTGCCTCACTCCATTTTTGTGTTTATCACCAGACACAAAAGAAGAAAAACACTCCTCTACAAACAAGAGGAGTCAGAGATGCTCGACACAAAATATCTGATAGTGCTTTCCAAAGAGCACCAGGCTTCAGTTAATGTTATGAGAACATCCTAACTTCCACCAGTCACCTGGGTATCCGAGAACTTATCAACTTAACCGAGATAAAATGCAGGCTTTAACTGTGTAAGAGAAAGACCACTGGCAAAAGCAGAAATAAGTAACTACTTGTACAGAAAAGGGGGGGTTATTGAAAGTACAAAGTCAAAATATTTAGTTGAAAAGATATCACATCAAGATATACTCCCTGCATCTTAGTTTAAACTCTTGGAGAACGAAGAATGCCATTTGAGGGGTCAAGTGGATTAGACATAAAAGGAAGCAACAAGCTTTTGTTAATTGGAATTAACCTACTTCGAGATCAATAGGAAATTGGACAGCCATAAAGGGTGCAAAATTTTATGATAGAAGATATCTTTTCCGAAGAATCTGAGAAATCTTAAACCTGAACACAAAAGATATAGAAATGTCAAACTACTTGCAGATTTATCACTTACTCTTTCTTGAAACATCTTGACTGAAATTTGCTAAACCATATTCAGATTGAAGTCGTTGCCGATGGATTTCAACTTTCTTTTCTATTTCATCTGGATTATTTATCCCTCGCTCTTCAAGAGATTCGCGATATTCAATCAAAGCAACCTCAAAGCGCCTCAACTTTTGTCTGCCATGAGCAAGTCGTATACCAATCAAAATCCAAAAGAGAAGACAGGATTGAAGAATGTAATATAAAAAATTCGGAATCAAATTTATAGCAATTCAATGGTGTTAGCAAGAAAACGGATGCGCTACGCCGCAACTTCGCGCAGCTGCTACGTCTTTGCTTCTTGCCTTATCCGCCTTTGCTTCTGCGTACACACTAGACCCCACGGTGTGGGATAAGACTGGGTATGCTGTTGTTATCCTTTACTAAGAAACTAATCTAAATAGAAGCCCTTCTTCTTCAAAGTCAGCTTTCTCCCTTCTTGCTTTAGTGAAATAAGGGGCGCTAACGCGACCTTCCTTCAGCTGGCTTCGCCCTATCTATTCATCTATTTTCTCAAATAGATATTTAGGGATCTCTCTTATTCATAGATCTTGAAACCAGATCAATATCCATTTCTCAATAGATCTAGTTATCGATAGAAAGATAAAAATCTCTATCCATATTAGTTGAAGATTGTGACAGATGAAATCTTCTCTGTAAGTTGCCAGAAATTCATAGTTCATTTTACCTCCTCCAATTTACTAAGCTTACTAAATGACCTCAGGCTGTCATTTACTATACTGCGTAGCATGCACATCATACTTTGAGGAAGCATTGAGCACATGTTTATTCATTAAAAACTAGTATTCAACTGAAAGAAGACACAAAAAGGAACTAGTCTAGGTCAACTGTGTGCGCAGAGACAGGAGTTTGCCTATCCATCTTCAAAACTCAATATGTGAAAGTTGAAGTCCGACATTCTCCAATCCATTTCCTCTCTTATCCTTTCTTTCATTCTCTTTTCTTCAAGTTGTAGGTTTATGCTAGCTTTCTTTTCCGAAACTGATAACCACTTGTAAGTAAGGTACAACATGGAGAAGAAGTTGTATTTCAATTTCCTTTAGTTTTATGGTAAATCTTAATACCGGGGGTGAGGCGGGTTTGATAGGGTTGATCTTAGACGGTTAGTGGTTAATGTTGAGTCCACATTATCCTTTCTGTTTATCATAGCCTCAGGCCTTAATTACTAGTTATGGTTATTGCATGTCATCTATTTTATGGTTTTTATGCTTCTATTACTATTTCTATGGTTTCTGCTGCCAAAACTGATGAATTGTCTTTTCTTCTTTTATTTCCGTCTTCCTGAGCCGAGGGCCTACCGGAACAGCCTCTCTGCCCCATCGGGGTAGGGTAAGGTCTGCGTACACACTACCCTCCCCAGACTTTGTGGGATTTTACTGGGCCGTTGTTGTTGTTGTTGTTATGGTAAATCTTAACTTGATCTACAGCAAGATTAGGACCCAGGTTTTGTAGCTTCCTGCTAATCACATTATCATGATTATTGGGCAATTACAGAATGCCAAAATTTCAATCTTTCAGTTCAGGGTCAAAAAGAATTGCTACGAATATTATGTAGAATGCTCTTAATGACTCTGTACTTGTTCCAAAAACAGTAGAATATTATTAATGCGCATGTTATAATAATAAGGAATTTCACGATTTAGAAAACTCAATTTCATGTAGCTCAGAACTCCTACATAAGGAGCCATCTCGTACGTCGTGAATAACCAATTCAATAAGTTTTCTCCCTTCTCTTACTCTTTTCACAGAGTGTACCCCTCTGACAAACTTCTGACTCAACATTAAGAATGCAGAGCTGTCATGCCATTTTAGTTTTAATTCTTTCTGTTTCTCTCTAAAGATTCTGCTAGATCAAAACTAAAGTTACTTCTGCACCTGTAGTTTATAATTTTGTCTAAAGTATTCCTCATTCTGTAAAAAGGAATGATTGACAAAATTATGTTAAAGCTACACGTCAACAAAGCTGGGTTTTAAACTGTAAGGGCCACATCCATCATCTCAATTAAGATACACGTATAGTTGATGGTTATACACGTCATTGAACCGTAAATTAAGCTCTGGAACACACTAACAAGAAGGGAGGTAATTTGCAAGATTTTCAAATGTTGAGGGGCTTAATAACCTATTTCCACTGCAAATATGGTAACATTCAGGAAAAGAATAATGAAGGACCGTATTTGATTTCTCTGAAATAATGGTGCGTTAGAGGGAGATTTCAGTTTTATGAATGGGCAAAAACAAGAAACGAACATGACACCAGACCCCTCAACCAACAACCACCCCAGTGGAATCCCACAAGTGGGGTCTCGGGAGGATAGTGTGTATGCAAAAAGCAAGACTCATTAGGTAGTGTGTTATTCTTTTTGTCCAAAAAGAGTCTCTTTTTCACTTCGGAAACTCAAATTCTTCAACCAAATTTGTCAAAGCATTAAACTTGAAATACAAAATCATTGTTCATAGTTTTTCCATTTACTCACTACTTCTCTACATTCTACCCATAAAAGACGATCTAATTCAAGACTAATCTACTTGAAAATAGTAAGTAAATGTTACTACCTTCCTTCGACAAAAGGAGTATACTCAAATGTCAAAAACTAACACGACATGAAGACTTGAAGATCAAAATTTTTTAGCAAAACAAAACCTATTTCGATGCATCAAACAACACATCTATATTTACATATTTACCTCTGTTCTTCAGTCATTCCACTTTCTAGATGTGTTGAATTGCTCGTGTCAGTTGTAAGTCCCGTCTCCTCAATCTTACGAATGCCATCCCCAGCATTTTCACTTCCAGAAGATGAATATGTCAACCCCAGGTCTCTCATATCTCTCTTTTGTTCATCATCACTTTCATTATCCTCCCTGGCCCATTTAGAGGCTGGCAAAATAGACCGATTTTTACCCTCATCAAATAAGTCATTTGAATCAAGCTGTGGACTAGAATTTGAGGGAACTGACGACATAGAGACTTCGCCTTCGAGTTGTTTGTCGTCATTCACATAACTATTCCAGCCTGAAGCCATCTGATCCAACTTATTATTGGTCTCTTTTTGGCTACTAAGGTATCTGTCAGAATTTGGACGGTTTACATGTTTTAGATCATCATCCAGTTCATATCCTCTCTGTTTCTCTGCTTCCTCAAGGTAAAGTAACCGAGAAACCATCATTTCCCTACCACCTATGAGAGACAAACCATTGTGCCTGCATTGTCTTTCTAACTCCGGAAGGGGAAGACTCAGTAGCTCCTTCATGGCAGCTCCTTTCCCAATTGCCAGTGCAGCATCTTGGTTAACCTTGTTACCATCCAGTGCAGTTTTAGTACTGATCGTTTGTTCTAGTTCAGGGGCATCACCACCAAGAGAATGAAAAAGGATGACACCGGAGTTCCCAGATCGAAGAAAAGTTGCACGTAAACCATTGACATAAGCATCGGAAAATAAAAACCAATCAGCCCACACTTGAAGAACTTTCAGAACTCTCTCCTGCAACATGTCAAGCAAAGCTTAGCAACACATCGAGGATAGAAACAGGCTACAAATCCAACATGTGCAAAACCAGTATGGTAATGGGAATGGCTTACTTTGAGGGCCTCAGCAGTAATCCTTCCTGTAATACTATGATACAAGTCATTGAAACTTTCCATTATGTCTGGTAAAGTGGCCTCAAATTTAGTGCGATATGCTGATGCATTCTTAATAGGAGCACTACTATTGTGGAGAATATCTGAGACAAGCATAAGCCGGGCAACTTTTGTTGGTATTGGAGTTTCTTTAAGCGTCAAAGACTCTGTTAGAACTTCAACTACCTGCAACTCAGTAGCAACAGGGTAACTGTTTCAGGAAAATACAATGGAAACAATTACGATCACAGGATCCCTCAATTCATTCATGGTCCTATTTATTACAATTACAATTAATGTTCAAGTCTCATCTTTATGCTAAATAATATAAAAAAAAACTTCAAAGAAGCTGATGGCACTTTGAAAATTAGATGTGGAAATAACCAGCAGGTTTGTTTATTCAACTGCTAAACCTGAAATAGAAGCTTTGAAAGGTAAAATAGTAAAATACCAAATAATGAATGTAGCCTCAACAGAATGCCCTCTTCCACTTCCAGTCGGTTCAAGTATTTGAATAGACAAAAAAGTGCAGTACAAAAATAACAGAAAATTTGTAAAACACCAACTGAAAATTTACCTCCCCAGCAGCATCAGCATTGTCTAGAGCAAAACCCATTGCTTCTCTTATCTGACTTCTTTCAAGAGTCGATGAACGTAGCATATCCTCAAATTCATCTCTCTGTGCATCAGTTAATGTCCTTTCTACTTCTACACGCTGCAAATGTTAAAAGATAAAAAGTTAAATAAGAAAACATTTGTCAGATGAAAAGAAAATCCCTTACACTTTCAGAATGAAGATCCCAAAAAATCAAAATTAACTTGACATGAATCTCTAGCATCATGAATGTACCCTGCTTTTTCCAGTAGCATATGCAGTCCCCAATTCCCTTTCATTCTCGTCTCCTTTTGATGTAGGCAGAGGAGGTGGTATCCACCTACAAGTATTAACAAAAATTTGGTCAACGACATACAATATTCAATCGAAAACTCAAAAAAACAAAGGGCTCCGTCCCTCCATCCACACATGATTCTAACTTTTGCAACAATAAAATAGACGAGTTCAGTTACATACTAAATAGATAGTTTAAGTTTTCCATTAAGCATATCCACTATGTAAGGTACTTTCCAGATGCTTTGTATTCAGGTCGTTCAATATGAGGGACTGAATAGGGTGGTATCCAGTCCCTCCGGATTGGATTGTTAAAGAAGATTATACAGGGGATTGAAATTTTCACCGTCATTTCCAAAATGCCCCTCATCAAATCTCAAAACAATTCACAGAAAAGGAATACACAAGAAACAACAACAACGGCCCAGTATAATCCCATTAGTGGGGTCTGGGGAGGGTAATATGGACGCAGACCTTACCCCTACCCGAGGGGCAGAGAGGCTGTTTCCAGGAGACCCTCGGCTCAAGAAAGCAACAAGAGACGATATATTAGTACCATCAATAGACTCATAATAAAATAACAGCAATATAAGAGATACGAAATACGGAATACGAAATAGATGGATGGTATAGTAAAAACCAGCAGATAAAGCCCCGCATAAGTAGACGACCAGTAGCATCCTCAGACTAACTCCTAACTGGTTGTCTCACTCTATTATGCTGTAGAAATCTTCACAACTTTCCCCTAACCTACAACCTTAATGCTCGACCTCCACAATTCTCTGTCAAGGGTCATGTCCTCAGTAATCCTAAGTCGCGTCATGTCCTGTCAGATCACCTCTCCCCAATACTTCTTAGGTCGCCTTCTACCTCTCCTCGTGCCCACCACAGCCAGTCGCTCACACCTCCTCACCGGTGCATCAGTGCTCCTCTGAATGTGCCTGAACCATCTGAGTCTTGCTTCTCGCATCTTGTCCCCCATGGGGGCCATGCCCACCTTCTCTCGAATATCTTCATTCCTAATCTTATCCATCCTTGTATGCCCGCACATCCACCTCAACATCTTCATCTTCTGGATGTGTGAGTTCTTAATCGGCCAACACTCAGTCCCATACAACATGGCAGGCCTAACCACTGCTCTATAAAACTTACCTTTTAGTAATGGTGGCACTTTCTTGTCACACAAGACTCCCGACGCTAACCGCCACTTCATCCACCCCACCCCTATACGGTGTGTGACATCCTCGTCAATCTCCCCGATCCCCTAAATAACCGATCCAAGGTACTTGAAACTACCCCTCTTGGGAATGACTTGAGAGTCAAGCCTCACTTCAACTCCCGCTTCCGTCGGCTCAACTCCAAATTTGCACTCGAGGTATTCCGTCTTCGTCCTGCTCAACTTGAAACCTTTAGACTCAAGAGCATGTCTCCAAACCTCTAGCCTCTCGTTGACGCAGCCTCCTGTCTCGTCAATTAGAATAATGTCATCAGCAAATAGCATGCACCATGGCACCTCCCCTTGAATATGATGAGTTAGTGCATCCATCACCAGGGCAAATAGGAATGGGCTGAGCGCAGACCCTTGGTGCAACCCCGTAACAACTGGAAAATGCTCGGAGTCGCCTCCTACTGCCCGAGTCTTAGCTCCAGCATACATGTCTTTAATCACTCTAATGTAGGCAATCGGGACCCCCTTTATCCTCTAAGCAGCTCCATAAGACCTCCCTAGGAACCCTGTCGTACGCTTTCTCCAGATCAATAAACACCATGTGGAGATCCTTCTTCCTATCCCTGTACTGTTCCACCATCCTCCTAATAAGGTGGATAGCTTCTGTGGTAGATCGCCCCGGCATGAACCCGAACTGGTTGTCTGAAATAGACACCGTCCTTCGCACTCTCATTTCTACCACTCTCTCCCAAACTTTTATGGTATGACTCAATAATTTGATACCCCTATAGTTGTTACAGCTCTGGACATCACCTTTGTTCTTATACAACGGAACCATTGTACTCCACCTCCACTCTTCAGGCATCCTATTAGTCTTGAATATAACATTAAACAATCCAGTAAGTCATTCCAAGCTTGCTCTACCCACACACCTCCAAAGTTCAACCGGAATTTCGTCTGGCCCGGTAGCTCTGCCCTTTCTCATCTTACGCATTGCCTCCATGACCTCATCGATCTCTATGTCCCTACGATTACTTAATTCATGGGGACTGTCGGCATTCCTCAATTCCCCTAGTACAATATCCTGATCCCCTTCTTCACTTAGAAGTTTATGAAAGTAGGTCTGCCAACAAAGAAAATAAAAATGTCTTATATTAGCGGGACATTTTAGTCATGTTGGCCCTTTCAGAGATTGGTATCCCCTGGCCCCGATAACTTATCTGAGCAACACCATGGGATAAGAGAGGTTTATCCATATAACTTAATCTACCCGGAGGCTTACCAATAGCAGGTTTAGGTTGAATAAAAATCATTCCGCTCCATGTGGTTAGTAACGCATATCAGACGACCCCTTTATATGCATATATAAAGTGTAGACTGATTTCAAACGCTTTGCATTAGGACCCACAATATCTGCACCAGAAACTCCAATCCAAAAGGCAAAAAAAAACAGTTAGTTACCTTCCACTACCACTGATCATGATAAAAGGTTCTGTGCGCCAGCGTTGAAGAGTATCCCCCTATTATTTCACAAGAACCAAAAAGATCTTAGCTAGCACAGTGTAAATATTTTTCTTCACCATCTTATAAGAGAAATATGGATTGATTTTAAAAGCAACTGATGAAGTTAGGTCACGAGGTCACTTATCAGAAAACAAAAGGAAGAAAGGTCATTTTATCAATTCATATTTCAGAGCCATGATAGGCTTTACCTGAGCAAAAGAATAAAGTCTCCAAACATAATATGTATGCTCCTTGGAGCCAAGCTCAAATAAGAAGTTGAAGAGAGAATTCCCACGGCCTCGCTCCATTATGGCCTGCTCAAAAGCACAGCCTCCATCGAGAACATACAGAGACATGGTACCAATAACATGGCAAAGGTGATCATCTTCCGGTGGGACAACCATAATATCAGGTACATTTGGGGTAAGAACCTACAAAGCACAAGCATATTACCAACTGGTTAATAAGACTACCAGAAAACTGAGAATTCTTAAGGACTACTCCATCCAATTTTATGTTGCACCATTCAACTGTGATTTGATTTTTGTATTATATAACTATTCAGACAGCTAACATACCAGTTCAGAGTTCTGGCTTGGTATAGAAGTAACTGGAGGACCTGATGGACCAGATAAGATGACAGTGCTACCCTGAAACCACATAAGATAATCACTTAAATTAGTTTCAGGAGCTAAAAGGAATGTATTAAGAAAGAGAAGGCAGAGAGGACAGCAGAAGGGAAAACTTGCCACAGAAAATTGCAGTTTTAAAGGAAATATAACTAGCTTCAGATAGAAAACCAAATATCCATTGCCAAGAATGAATAATTAACCCATAGAAGGTACTCTGTATCTATCTATTAAATTAACATGATTGATATATATAACTAGTTGAAGCAAAAACACACAAGTTTGACCATTCATCTATCTTCATGACATGCATTCAACTGATCATACATTCCTAGATAGAAGAATCAGTGTAGTATCTATACACATATATAGCTCATCAAGAAATCATACACCTTTAGAACATATTGAAAGATAAACACCTAAGCTTGCCAAGTTATGCATTCATAACATGCATTTAACAAATCATATTCTCTATAGAGCACGACGAACCTCCTTGCTCCTGATTGCCATTTGTCCCGGAGGGGGAGCAGGGAGTGATTGGGATGGTAAAGAGACAGATTTGCCCCACCCGATCTTCAACTCGTACTCATAAACCACCACTCCTGGATCATAAAAAGAAAATTTGGTATTTAATTGCTTCACTGCTTAAAGTTGTATGTACTTNTATAGAGCACGACGAACCTCCTTGCTCCTGATTGCCATTTGTCCCGGAGGGGGAGCAGGGAGTGATTGGGATGGTAAAGAGACAGATTTGCCCCACCCGATCTTCAACTCGTACTCATAAACCACCACTCCTGGATCATAAAAAGAAAATTTGGTATTTAATTGCTTCACTGCTTAAACTTGTATGTACTTGCAAGAGATAATGAATAATAATCAAAAAGAACGATGACATAAGCAAACAGAGTAGACAGCCACATAGCAAGAAAACAAATTCCATGAGCTCTGTGTAATAGTTATGTAGCAGGTAACATTATCAAGAGCACACTGCTGTTAAAACAACCAAAACAAGTCCATCGTCAGTCTCCATTCTGCCTCTCACTACTGTGTCCCAGTGAAGCAAGATCTTTGCACAAGGATGAGTTCAAACACTGGGAAACTGAGCAAGAGTTGATATATACTGGATAGACATGAGCAAATATTAGAAATATAGATTCTAATATCTACTGCATTCCCTCTTAGTTAGCCAAATATCTCCAGTGCCAGCAAACCCAAAATGGGCATAGCAAACAGGAGGCGACACCCACAAGAGTTGAAGGGACGAATCTCCCAAGGAGAAGACAAAAAAAGCAACGCAAAACAAAGACACATTTATTAGGCATCGTTTGGTTCAAAAACTCCTCATGTTCCTTTTTTTAGAACGATATAATTACCTGATGTTTCCTGTCCTTCGTTTTTATAATTTCTGGCTGTCGTTACTAGTTCGTTTTACGTAGTTCGTTGTCATAACTACTGTGATTTTGTTGTATTGAGCCGAGAGTCTTCCGGAAACAGCATCTCTACTTTCACAAGGTAGGGTAAGGACTGCGTACATACTATCCTCCCCAGACCCCACTTGTGAGAATACACTGGGTATGATGTTGTTGTTGTCGTCGTCGTCGTTTGGTTCGAAAACAAGTTATGTGGAAATTAGTAATGCAGAGATTGTAATGCAAGGATTAGTACTGTAGAGAACTAGAGATTGTTATACAGGGATTATTAATGGGGAGAGAGTAATGCAGGGTAAGCCTGCATATGATACACCCTTATGGTCCAGCCCTTTCCCGACCCCGCGCATAGCAGGAGCTTAATGCACCGGGTTATCCTTTCTTTTAGAGTAATGCAGGAAATAGTAATGCAAGGATTATAATGTAAGAATTATTTCTTGTTGGATGTTTGGTTTTTTGTATTAAAAAATAGTACACATTGTATGATTTAATATGTGTCTTCCTTTTATATTTAAAGATAAGGGAAGAGTCAATGGGCTAGGGTGTTTTTCTGTAGTAGACAACTTCAAGTTTTGCTCCTTAAACACAGCAATACTCAGTACAACCACAACTCTATCAGAAGAAAAACTAAAGACTCTAAATTACAGTGATTCACTTATCTTATCTGTGTACCGAAGAAGTTGGGGTGACGTTCTCTGCATTTTTCCAGTAAATAAGCTGCAAGAAGTTTCTATTCTATCCAGGTGACATCAAGTTTATTTTATCATATTATTTTAATCCATGTATTAGTAATACCCGTATTCTTATTCGATACCCTATCCCACATAAAATAATACATGTATTTCCTCATAACTTGTGCCGGTGAATGTTTAACCGATCCATTCCGGATCGACCGAATTGGTACGGAAGTTAGGAAGAAAGTAAAATGCTAACCGAAAATGTATATGCTATGTTAACCCTCAGGGGTTGGCCTGGTGGCAATTGACTTGAGTCTTGGGGTTTGCTCCCTTTCAAGGTCTCAAGTTCGAAACCCATTGGGGCAAACAATTTCTGAGGGCCATCGGACTGGGTAAAACCTGAATTAACCATAGTGCACTTGCGGGAAACTCCTTGTCGAGGGTCTGTGCACCCCCGGGATTAGTCGGGGCTCTTAGAGACTCGGACACCCGGTGCAAATAAAAAAAATGTATATGCTATGTTGGCTTCTATGCATAGATTAACTTTCCTTATTTCACCAACCAAACAAAGTAAATGTTATGTTGGGTTTTAGCAACAGATTAATTCTCCTCAAAACGCTAAGCAAACGGGCACTTACTGTACAAGTACATAATACACAATATTGCACCATCAAAACATTTTCCCTTCAGTTTAACAGGTTTGTACACTCAAAAGCTATAAATGCAGGTAGTGGAATAACCCTTATAACCTACTCCACTTATCAATATGGCATAGTTTTGCTTGAACATCAGCATCTCTAACTCCTTATAACTGCGCATTAAAAGCTTGAACAACAAGAACATCATGGTAAATTTGTTATGTTGTATGAAACTGGGAAAAGAATAATGAGACATTCACAATAGCAAGGAATTTCAACTCCGACTCATGTTTTGAAGGCTGGATGTTTGACGAATCTCTTTGCTTGGTCTAAACTTCATATTGTAATAAATGTTATCTTTTTTGGATTTTGTCATCTCCTTAAGCTGTTGCTTGGCATAAACGTCATATTGAAATAATATCTTTTTTTGGATTTGTCATCTCCTTAAGTTTTAGCTAGGAGTCAAAGGCATGTACAGGAACTAATTCTATTTTATAACACATTTGCATCGACTGGATGCTTGATGAATGAAATTTATCTTTACCTGATCAACAAAATAGCAAGGGAAGATGTTTAACTTTTCTTTAAAATGAAAATATCACGGGAAGGAAAATAAGAAGAGGGAAACGCTATTCACAGATATAGGATTAAGCAAAAGTGTCAGTTGTAGTAGCTAAAGCCTAACCTTGCATCTCATCATTTGCAGCCTGAGCATCAGCCCTATTCATGAAAGATACAAATCCACAATTCCTCTGTCGCTTTCTTTCCTCTTCTGTCCTCGGCCACATTATTTTTACACTCGCAATAGGGCCAAATCTCCCAAAAGTACGCAAAAGGAAATTTTCATCAACCTATAAGGAAAATAATCAAAAGGGTAAACCAAACAAGAAAGGAGAATAGGGTGATAAAGAAACTCAAGACAGCTTCACAGTGCTTAAAGCAACAAAGTGACATTAATAAGAAAAGCATTACCTGAGGCGATAAATTTCCAACATATAGATTTGTGGTCTGTGGGTCCCCATCATCCAATGATCCAGGCCTTCCACTAGGATCAAAATCATCTGGCAGCTCATCAAACCGACTAGACGGCTGAGGAAAGTTTGTCATAAAACATGAGAAAAGTAATACAAAGCACACCAAAAATGCAGATTAGATATAAAAGGAAGTAGATACCACAAAAAGAAGAGACATTTGACAATAAGTGATTTTTACAGTAAATTTTAGCGCTATTGCAGAAACTTTACTAATAAATGTATCGTGCATATATCAGCAGATGTGGCATGATGTTTCAAGGAAGACTCTGATGTCTGTGCATAAAATGTGTATCAAAAGCAGATGAAAGGCACCAGTAATGCTCTAAGAACAACCAATAACTTATCTTCTTCCAAAAAGATTCAAGTACTCAGACCACTGCCAAAGAGCATCAACCATCTAAATCATAACATTCATGTTGGACTGCAATTGTTTCAACCCATTTAAACAGAATCTCATTGAAAAAAGACAAGAAAAAGTTTGTCCGATATTTCATCTTAAAGGAACGGAAGATTGAATGGCTTAATTTCATACACTCTTGACTCTACCAATATCCTTAGAGCCACTTACAGCTGGATTATCAGTATGACGATCGCGCCAGTGTTCACGTTCTTGGTTACGCCTTTCCCTCATTTCTTGCTCATGCTTCAGTTCCTCCATAAAATAGTCGATGTTCCTTGGTTTTCCTTTCTCCTTTTCCCTTGTTTTCTCCTCCTTCTGCATAATGTAGACCAACATATTCATATGTAAATATCAAAAAGGTACAACATTTCTACTCTAGTACTAGAGATGTTTCAACTGCCCAACATACCTTCTCATAATCTCTGCTCTTGGTTGCCGTAGGAGGTGGTAAAAAAGATGGAACATACCTGCAGATACATGAACTACATTCCAGAATCTACCACCAATAACTGAAAACATTTTTTTTTTAAAAACATTATCTTAAACAATGATAGAATCAATCTTTTACATGTGGGTGGCGATATTATCATTAGCTGAATTGAACATGCTTTCAATTGACACAATCAATTTACCAATGCAAACATTTAACAAAGAAAGAAAGTGATGTATATATCTTCTGAAAGAATGGCCACTTTGGCAGAGAAAATCACCCAAGTTTCAGCTTACAAAGTCACTCTCACTATTTACAGTTTCCTCTATCTGACATGTGACAGGTGTTCCATCCCTCCTCATAAAAGCTTTGATTAAATTGTTGTCTAAACCAGGGAACAATACCTACTACAGTAAAAATCCTAACCTACCATATGTTCTTAACTTGCGCGTAACTTCTTCAGTCATTTTAAGAGGAGTTTACTTCTGCGAAATTACTAGGTTTAGGAGTCATAATGATATGCCAAGTTTGTGACATAAGGTATCATGAAGAACACTCGTTGTTCCGTCGCTTTTTCAACTAAAAATATATTACGCATCCCTTTCCTCACTCAGTTTTTTGTGGAACGACCATGGTACCATCATTATACCACACAGCTAGAGCATTATTAGCCATTCTGTATCATCCCAAGAAAAGGAGAGAAGACTTTGCAGAATTCAGTACCAGATCCATACAAAGCCTTCTTCTTGCAACAATGACTAGTTTAAGGGCATAAAATTCATTTTTACCGCCTCCTTTGCTATTGTTTCTTCACTTCCCAGTTCTACTTTGCCCTCAGATCTGACAGTTTCCCGCTGGATGAGAAATAAACTAGTTCCGTCCCAATTTATGTGGTGGTGTTTAACTGGGCACGATTTAAGAAAGTAAAAAAGACTTTTAAAACAAGTGGTCTAAAACATGCCATAGACATGTTTGGCTATGAGATCATGTAACTGAGGGTAAAATGGAAAATTTCAAGTTAAATTGTGTCCCTATATAGAAATGTGTCATTCTTTTTGGGACAAACTAAAAAAGAAAGTATGTAAATGTCACATAATATCGGTAAAGGGAGTAAAAGTTTAATTCACACCCCTTTCATCACACAGTTTTTTATGGAACTACCACAGTACCTTCATTATACCACACAGTTAAAGCATTATTAGCCATTCTATATCATTCCAAGAAGAGAAGAGAAGACCTTGTCGTTTTCGGTACCAAATCCATACAAGTGTTCTTTTTGCAACAATGACTAGTTTAATGGCATCAGATCCATTTCTACAACCAGCTTTACTCCAGGGGTGTTTCTTCACGTCCCAATTTTACTTTTCCATCCAATATGATAGTTTTCCACTGGGTGTTAGGGCCTAGTTGAAAGGTTATACAAGCAAAGGATGTGTGCTAGCCAACACTCGTGGAGGTGAGGAGCGAGGAGAAAAGGATCATTCCCAGTAAAGTCATTACCATAAGATCTTCGGCACTAACCGGTTTGAATTATCAGCATGTCAAGAAAGATATGCCTTTTTAGTTCGTTGACAACGAGAGAGAAAAATCTCACAACTGAGAATTTGCGAAAAAAGAAGATTACATACGTCCATCTAGTGTTTCATGTGCGAAAAATCAGGCGAGGCGTGGATCATCTCCTGCTACATCGTTAGGTGGCAACTCCCTTCTGCTGAGATCATGGGATGGTTTGGGACACAATGAACAATGCCAAACACAGTGTAGGATGCATTGTTTAGATGGAATTCTAGAAGGGAGAGAAGATGGATGGCGTGAAATAGTTGCCCCACAAGCACTCATGTAATCCAACTAAACAGCGCATCCTACATTGTGCTTGTCATTGTTCATTCTAACCCGAACCATCCCATGATCTCTCAACACAAACGAGTTGCCACCTAACGATGTAGCAACAGATGATCCACGTCTCACCTGATATTTGCACATGAAACACTAGATGAAAGTATGTCTAAGTAGCTACTCTCTTGTGGCGGAAAAGTTTGAGATATTTTGGGGTATATTGAGTGATCCCAATGGAGGCATTATTCAACTGAACTTTTACTAGGCTAAAGAGAAGAAGAAATGCATGGATTGTTGCTAGAGGTGTCAAAGATTTTCAAAAACAATTGAATCGAACCAAACCTCGGTCCGATTTCTAGGTTTTTCACCATAAATACATAGGCTTATGTGTGAGCCTATAACTGCACTTGATAACTAGAAGGTTTTTATTTTCACGTAAAGAAAATGAAAATACCAAACTCAACCTACTAATAATATATTGATAAAAATACTACACATCAATTACACGTACAAAACATTACTCACTCCGTTCCAATTTATGTGAACCTGTTTGACTGAGCACGGAGTTTAAGAAAAAAATGAAGACTTTTGGAATTTGTGGTCCAAAGCAAGTCCAAATGGGGCCCAGAGTATTTGTGTGGTTATAAAGCTTCTCATTAAGGGTAAAGTTGTAACTTTAAGCTAAATTGTTACCAAATTTAGAAAGGGTTCATTCTTTTTGGAACGGACCAAAAAGGAAATAGGTTCACATAAACTGGAACACAGGGAGTAATTTTTTAGCCATGGGAAGTATCAAGACACTTCAATGATCACATGAATCCACCTGTTTAAGTCAACTATTAAGTGATTTCAAAAGTTTACCCTTGTATTATGGAGCTTTTGGTTGCAGGTGAAGAAATATGGAGAGGGTATACTTTCACAATTAGAAAATTCAACAAGTAATATAGTAGATGTTTAATTCAAATGACAATTTATAACTTCACATTACATTCATTGCTTTTGTTTGTGTTCTACACTATACAATTTTTGGATTTTTAGCTGTTGCATATACTTTCCAGTGACCTTAAATGAGACACGGATGAATGAAAACAAATAATGTTGTCAAGATCAATTACACTAGTATTTTTCATCAAAAGAAAAACCTTCTTTTGGTCACCTAGTTTTAGCAATGACTTGTTATAATATATATTAACTGAACAATGCCCACGAAAAGCAATGGTTTCAGATGTTGTACCTTGATGGTAAAGTATAATGTACCAATAAGAAATCATAAAAGTACTTCTGAAAGTAGGTATATTTTGAAAGTTAATGTTACTCAACTCATCCTTGTTTCTTAGCAGGATAATTGCTATTTTTATCTTATATTGTGTTTGCCAGTTTTCTGTAACAAATGAAAATTTTATTAACATAAGTATTTTTATTTGATGTCTTAAAGAATAATTGAACCGAACCGAAACCGAAGAGAAACCGAGATAATTGGGATGATTCGGAAAAGTCTAATTTAGGTTATACACAATCATTATTTCTTTGTAATATGCCAAAAAAAAATATATGGTATAAATTTCTCAGAATTACGGGTTGAACCAAACTATTAACAATCTTATATGTTGCTCCATTCACTCATGTGGATAGGTTGGAAAGGGAGGAATATGAGACCTTTCGAAGGATAGAGGAAAATTTTGTATTGTTGATGAATAGCCTCATATTCCTTGTTTCTTTTTGGTGCACCCATGAGGCATCAATTTGTATACTGAGTGGCTACTTTTTGGTTTACCACTTGTATACATGAGTTTCTTCCTAACATTAAGAAAATAATTTACCTTATCAATAAAAATATCCCTTTTATTTCATTTGCATTTTTGTGTAAGGAGAATACTATAATCTAATGATAGTTGACAAAGTTTAATAGACCACTGTGGATGACTCGGCTGGAGCCACTCAGTGTCCATGTATTTTTTGGCATGGATTTGGTGTTCTCTAATGAAATATTGACTTATCAAAAAAGTAATTCCAAAGCATTCGCCTTTTCATCTCTTGTAATGTGTTTCTGGTGATGAATTAGAAAGGCCATCTTTAGTAATGTGTTTCTGGTGATGAAAGGCTGTCTCAAGAGGACTGCTGAAAATAGATGCTCCATCCAATAGGACTTCTTTTCATTGTACTAATATATTTTAAATCTCAAAATTTAGCAACAAGCATTGATAATCTATGTGCTTTTACAATAAGAACAGAAACTAACATGCAGGCACAAAATTTTGCCCAGCAAAGTACATAGGATGTTAATCCCACTTCCAGAAATTGGTAGTACTCTTAACCTTTCTATACTATCTATTTCTTGGTATGAGTAATTAACAAAAAGAGAGCTATACAAAAATGAAAAGAAAACATTAAGTGCTCAGCGCCTCAGCATGACCGCACATGCTCTTGAGATACACACACAGCTGCATTAGCATTTATCTTTCAGAGAGATGCACGGTAAGATCATCATTAAAGTGAATCAAGTGACTCGGAAAAATTCAAAAGGACAAAATAATATTTTAAGTAACTAACTTTGCAGCCCTAATAATTACGGTATCACCACCAGAAACCAGTAGTACTCTTAACCTTTCCGTATATCTTATTATCAAAGGCAAAAAGCGCAAAAAAGCTCTAAGGTCTGTTGGGGCTTTAAACGCAAAGCGCAAATAAATCGTAGGCTTTAATGAAGAAAGGCGCAAATGGAGAAAAACTATAAATATCTATGTATAGTCCAAGACTAATATCCATAAGTATGAATACCAAATATATGGACAACGAAATTGAAGAAAATTTACGATAAAGTGAAATATTAATTGTTTAGTATCACCTCTTCAATATTACGCTCATTGGCAAGGGAAAGTATGCCTTAGAGCCTTGATGACAACACTGAATAGTCCGCTAAGCGAGGCGAAGCGCTCAACATGTTTTGAGCCACGCTTCAGGGCTAAAGCGCGCCTTTGATAACACTGCTTATTAGCACGAGTAAACAACAAAAAGAGAGCTAAACATATATGAAAAGAGAACATTAGATGCTCAGATTGACCGAACATGCTCTCAAGACACATGCAGCAGCATTAGTATTTATCTTTCAGATAAATTCAAGGAAAGATTGCCAGTGAAGTTAATCAAATGACTCAGAAAGACTCTAAATGACAAAATAATATTTTACCACAAACATTTGCACCCTAATGTTAACAGTGATATCATAACCAAAAGACTAAGTACGTAAGGCCTAAATTTATACAGTAGTATTACAGCACGGTCAATCAAAAAGCATTTGTTTACCTACTTCCCTTCTTTAAACCACAAACCTCATCTTTGGAACCTGCCATCGGTGAATATATAGAAAAGGCCCATATTTTTATTAAATGTGTCCGTGTAAAGAGAATTTATTTATCCATATTTTATAGAGAATGATTCATCTATATAAGGAGTATAATGAAAATTTAAGAACATAAATTGCTGCAACGGACCATCAGAATCAATCTTCAACTTATCATTCGGATTGATGGTTCCCCCTCTAACAAAAGCTTTAGAACCAGGTGTATCATCCGCTTGAAATGACTCTACAAACTCTTGGTACAGACAAGCTGTTTCGTCCTCTGCTCTCTGCCAACATAATACATGTATGTTACAAGATCAAGAAACTTCATTACACAAAGTAAACCAAAGACAGTAAGGGTTCATACTTTCTTCTTCGCCTCTTCCTCTTCTCGGTGTTTCTGGAAAGGTGTCTTCTTCCTAGAACTCATCTTCTCAGAACGCACAAACTGCACAGCAGCACGTGTATTAAAAGAGAAGCACCACCTCCACACATATGACATATCACAAGAACAACAGAGCACAATTTAATCAGAATTAAAACCACCCCCAATTGATTCACTGATATCATAACTTCAGAATCAAACGCAACATATTCAATGGGCCATAAGAAAAACTAGAATGCATGGCACTTATGTGATTAACATCATTGCAAGAAAATGGGCATCACCGCCAAATCCAAATAGCAATCATCACCAACCTCATCGTGCATAAATAGTTTAGCTAAAACGTCAACAAGAAACTCGACAAAGGAATCCCAAAAGAGAGAGAGAGAGGGAGATTTTAGTCCAAAATCTAATAACCTGACCAAATTCCTACACATATTACTCCCCCCATCCCACTTTATGTGATGCACTTTGACAAGGCACGAAGTTTAAGAAAGAAAGAATAAAATATACTTGTGTGACAACAAATCATCTTATTAAGGGTTAAAATGAGAAGCTTAAAGTTAAATTGTTTCTAACCATAGAAAGCTATCATTCTTTTTAAGACAGACTAAAAAGAACTATGTGTCGCATAAATTGGGAGAGAGAGGAGTAATAAATAGTAAGAATGCATCAAACTAAGGTAGAAGTCATCAACTACTCCATTTCTCCTAATTTACGTGACACTATTCACTGATCACAGAGTTTCATCTGCTAATTTGACTGCTAAATTGTAAAAGTAGTAGTTAGAAAAACAATTGAAAGTCCGTTCCACTAGGGGGAAAAAACATTACACCAACTTATACATTTGATATACCTAAATGAATTTGAATCCTTGAAAATGTATATGCAAGTTGTGTAAAAGAATATAATCAGGGGTATGGTGTCATAATCAAAACAGTGCCACATTGCAAAAATAGGGAGCATTCAAGTAATAAATTTTCAATTGCAAAAACAAAAACATATGTTGACAAAATTCAGACGGTCAAGTTGGATGAATTAACTATAAGAGTCAAACGATTCTGACGACTACTTAAACATAAATATAGATCATTGGTTTACTTCAAGCTTTGCAATAAGCCAAATTAATTATTGCTTTAACTCACAGCCAGCATAGTGGTATTTCATTTAACCAGGACATATAAATCAAAGTAATAGAAGTGTTGTTTCTCAATCAATTCAATGAAAAAGAAAGAAAATGCTTACTTTGAAGTTAGAAAATTGAAATTTAGGGCTTTGCTGAACAACTTCAAGTACTCAGACGATATTCGCTACTCGATTAGCACTGGCGCTTTTCCTCTTTCGCTTTCTCTCTGTTGGAATTTCAGTTTTTAATTTCTTTGAAGTCGTCTTCTTTTTATCCTTTTTAATAGAGTTTACGAAAAGGTTCAAATATGCCCTAAAATTAAGCGAAATTGAGCAGATTTGTCCATCCTTATACCTTGGCGCAAATATGCATTATGCCCTTATTTTATACGATCTCATATGGAGTACATATTGGGTCCACGCGCTTACTTTAATGGCATATTTAGCCCTTTAAACTTTTATTTTATGGAGTTATATTGTTTGGTTCATGGTAATATAATGGAAGTTTGTAACGATAACTGAAATCGATTACTTTTCTTCTGTAAATCTGTAATACAAACAAAGAGAAACAAAGAGTCGAAAAAACAAAACCATTTGTTGGAACACCTATATCAATAAATATTGACATTATTGTATGGGTCAAAATCCGATCGAGAAAATTCGGCACGAAAAGGTGATCGAACGTGAGAATTGTAACTCGTCATGGGTGACCTGGCCGAGGTCGATCAGCGATTAACAAGAATGAGCCATTGAGTGGCCCATTAGGGCCGAGGTCGAGCGGTAGGAGTAGAAGTAACGGCAAGTATAGCTTTGAAACTTTCAAAGGAAATATTCCATTGAATATTCCTTATGTTGTAGTTTTAGGGTTCTTTGGGAACATCCCATATATAAATAGAAAGGTAGAGAGAAGAAAGAGAGACATGTAATACTCTATATGATAAGATCTCTTACGAAAAGTTGACTCTGAAGGAAAATATAAATATTGTCTTTCCATAAAGATTCGATTTGTTGTTTATCCAATTCTTCTCTCATCAGATCCGAGAAAGCCCCCCTATATTCCAACATTCATTTGTCTTATATCATTGTCAGAGATAAGAATCATCCACTTCATTCAATATTTGGGTGAATCATTCTCTCTATTTAGATTTATTGTGATTTAATATAGTTATTACTTATCATTGTCCCTCCACTCATTCATACAACATCATTTAATACCCATTGTATTAAATTAATTTAAACGCATTTCCATGTGACTTGTGTAAACTCATTTCAGATCTAGGATTTATTATGTCTAGATAGGATTTGCCCACTATCTTCTTATTTAATTAGTTTAATAAAAATATTTCATACTTTTTGGTCAAATAATTTGGCGCCGTCTGTGGGGAATTTTCTAGCTAAAATTTTAGTTTCTTCGAAATCTAAGAAAAAACTTTACAAAAATCTTATACTTCCTTGTAGGCACAAATCTAACATGGCAGGCAACAGAGAGGAAAAGAGGAAGGCGATATCCGACCTCACCACTAACCTCCTCCACACCATCAACGAAGTGGATGAAACGGAGGGGGAAGATATAACACCAAACACCTCTCCCAGGTGAAACAGCTCGCCCCCACCTCACGGTAGCATTACAACTTCGCGCGGTAAAAGGGCTTCTACATCCACAACATAAGAGGTACCACCAGTAGTGAAAAAGCTACTCGAGGCGTGGTTGACAAACACGCTAACCAGTTTCCTCGACAAGCCTGCCCAAAGGTCGAATAGAGAAGAGGCAAGGGTCTGCATTGCATTAGCAGCTGACGAGCAGCACGCCCCCTGTAACAGGTATTACTCACAATACTAATGATGCAGGAAACGACACCCTCATGACCATTTTGAAGAAGATGGAGGAGATGGAGAACAAGAACAAAATGCTCTGCAACCAAATGAAGGAACATCAAGAAAGGGTAGACAAAATACCGGGTGCTCCAAAGCTTTTTCCAAAAAGGGACGCCAGCCGATTCGTGGAACAATCGTACAATGATGAGAATCCACCGCATGTCATATCTAAAACCTTCAAAATGCCATCGTACTTAAAAATATATGACGGCACGACGGACCCAGAGGATCGTGTGACCCACTATGTCGTGCAGTGAAAGGCAACGACCTCGCCAAAGACAAGTGTCATCCATATTCCTGAAAACTACTCATCAATTATGAAGTAAATATTCAATGAAGAGAGATTATATCCTAAGACATAAGTAAGGTTAAAATGGTCAAAAACTCCTCCTAATTTATATCTTTTTAAGAAGCGTGTATTAAAAAATTCCAAAGATAATTTAAGATGGGAAATATTTATCAACCATGTATAATGTCTTATGATTCTTTATTTACTACTGAGGCTGAAAGAGTAGTAAGAACTAACTAGTATATATCAATATGAAACCTAGATAATGATATGTTACAAATCACCAATAAAACTCTCTCTCAAAATTGAAAAAGATGTAAGAGTTTAATTAGGGTTGACATGTGTGGAAGAAGAAAGAGATTGAAGTATTTCAACAACGCTTGATAAAATTATGACCATGCACGCTAAAATCAGTTATTATTTAAAATAAAGTAAAATGAATGCACTATAATAGTTCTATTAAATATTAGTATATGTTATGAGAAGATCACAAATATAGTTAGATATATTTTTTTAAGGAAATCGTATGTAAAGTTTTAAATTAAATGCATATCAAAATTTTTACGCAATAGATTTAGTTCCATATTTTGATTTGATTTGAACACCCCTTATAACCACTACATCACTAAAACTCTGCAGGCAGGCTTTTTTGAGCGGGTCGGAAAAAAAAAAGACAATACATATGCATTAGCAAAGCCTCTCTATAAACAGAGCCTTGCCTTTCAGTCTTTTCCACAAACACATAGTGAGTAGAGACAAAACCTGGATTTCAAGCTTATGAGTTCGAGATTTTAATTGTTTTAAGTTACAAGATTTTGATTAATAAGTTATACATATTCAATGAATTTTTAAGACATTAATACACGATTATTAGAAAGGGAAGTTAGTTAGGAATTCAAAAGGTAATTAGAGTTAGTTGGAGTTTGTTACAATAACTAACTTCCATTAGTTGAAGGAATATGTTAGGGAAGCTCTTGATTTTTCATTCAATGCAATAGATATAAATACAGTATATTACATAAATTACAGACATGAATAATAGTACAATTCTTATTATACTTCTCTTCTCTTCTTCTTCCTTCTACTCTGCACTCGTCTTAAAATTGATTTCTCGAATCACTCCTGAATCAACTCTGTGATTCTCTAGTTAACTAAGCTCCTGCAATCGTGTAACATTGGTATCAGAGCCCTCAATCCTTGGAATCATGGCAAAAGGCACACGATCGACTAACAATTCAACTGAAGAACCAGTTGATCTACGTGAATTGATGCAGAAATTGATAGCTGATGTAGGGGCTTTGTCCGGTGAAGTTTTACATCTGAAGAAGTTGGATAGAATAGTCCTTGAATTAAAGGAACAAATGACTAATTCAAGGAACTCCAGAAGGATAAATCGCCATTACCATATGAAGGTGATGTTGTGCCCTTTTTTCTCGCGAAAGTGGGTTTCAACACGTGACAACTCTTTTAAGGAAGGTGTTAAAAAAAAGAGTCGCCACATAATGGGTTTGAGGTGTGTTAGGTCACCTATTTGCAAAAACTCTGATTTAACCAATTTGTGTCACCAAAGATTGGGTAAAGGCTCAAATTACCTAGAAGAGAAGGTCTTAGGCACTCTTCGAAGTCCACAACTGTGGGTCACGGCCGTACTCGAATTATATGAATTAGTCAGACAAACAAAGACAAAGAAAGCAAGAAGTTTGGGAAGTTTTATTAAACACAAATAATTGATTTAAAGACAAGCTGAGAGGGGGATCCTAAATTTTTTAGCTTAAAGGATCACCCCGTGCAACATAAATAATACTTTGTAACTCCCTCAAGATGGGGTGTTACTCGTATTATTCAGCAGACACATACTATCATCTCCTGCTACCCGATTACTATCTTTAAGTTGTTACCCAAAAGCCCACTAGTTGATTCTAAACCGTGCCTTATGCATGTACTACCCGTCCCATGCCTACGGTCCAGGAGGTTTTGGACCTCTATTTGGGTAGTTATATACTTTACTTAGGCTGCTCAAAATGATAAACTAAGCGACAAACAAAACATATAAAGACTTTACATAAAGGAAACTAAAGGCTCACATTGACCTCCACACTTATACAGCAAATGCACGCAAACACATATGCAAATTGGGAGATTTCAAAATTCAGAACCTTGAACCTATAGACATGATTTCTAGGTGAGTGTGAATCAAAGTATGGGCAGTTTCAGATACAAGACATCGCTTGTAGAAGGGATTATGCAGTTGCTATAAGCTGATTATCAAAATCGCATGTTTCAAGTTATTAAACCTTACGGATGTTGCAATCTTAAGTGATCTACACGCTGAATGATGGGGAAGTCTATTAGGAGAATCACAAAATTATTCATGCTAGCTGACAACGGTATGAACAGGTAGTAAGTGGGTTTTTAGAGGTCTATCAGAATGAGCAATTATACCCTATAAGCAGGATCCCTAACCTTTGATGCTTGGCATTCACATTTTTTATCGTTATACTTAATCTTATGGGCATGATTTCTAGTGAACAGTGAAAGACAATAATGAAGTGATCAAATTCCTATAGACATAATTTCTAGTGTACGGTGCAAATTAAAAGGGATGTTATTAGCGTTTATTCCCTATAGGCATGATATCTAATGAATAGTACATATCTTAATCCTATGAGCATATTTTCTACGTGAACAACGTCAAATAAAATAATTGGAGTCCTATAGGCAGGATTTCTAGTAACACATAGCAATAAACATAATTGCAGTATTTTCTACTTGTGTTTGCTAATAAACAGTATGTGCGCGTGCTTTTCTCTAATGGCATGGTTTCTATAGTGCATATAGTTGTCACACCTCCTTTTTACCTACACCTCGAAAGGGGCATATAAATGGAGTTTTTTCCAACTTAAAGTGACAATCGAAACGGGATTATTTATTTAGTTGTTTAGAGTCGTCACTTGGGATAATTAATGGTGTCCCAAGTCACCGGTTTTAAATTCCGAATCGAGGAAAAGATTGACTCTGTATTACAGTCCGCGAACCAGAAATCCGGGTAAGGAATTCTGTTTACCCGGGAGAAGGTGTTAGGCATTCCCGAGTTCCGTGGTTCTAGCACGGTCGCTCAACTGTTATAATTGGCCTATTATCTGATTTTAGTACATGTTTTAACCTATGGTGCAATTTTAAACCTTTAACCACTTTTATTCATTTTTAAAGAAAATTGCAACGTCATTTAAAATATGTTTTGAACCACGTCACATAAATGCACCCGCAGTCCATGACACATTTTACCTAACGTTGTGAGATTTAGATTTGGGTCACATAAATGCACACCCCAATTGATATTTATGTATTGTGACCATGCCACAGGAACCGTACTCATAGCCACGATAATTTATTATAATTAACGCGCCTAAAGCAAGCTACGATGTTATTGCGTTATTCATTATTCCTCCTAAACAAAGACTTCAAATTTATTTATTTTTTCTAAAAGTACGACTACTATCATTTAATGGTTCAATTAGTCAAAAAATTGTAAACAAATTAGTAATAAGAGAAAAGTAAGATTCTGAAGGACAAAAAATATAATACTATAAGACAAAAGAGAGTTAATGGGGTGCATAAAAGTGTGGCTACATTACAACCTTTGATCACATTTTCCAACTCTCTTAATTCAATATTGGCCAAAAATGCAGTAGTTTTGCTCATTTTAGAGTGGCGACGAACACATAGATGAAGTAAAAAACAATAACGGGAAATAGAAATGAAAAATTACTAGAAATTCGATGACTATACTGATCAGATAGATGAAAGATTACCAAAAATTTTGACATTAAGTTGCTCTACATTTGCCGTAGTTGTTGTGGAACAAAAGAGTTTCAGTCTGATAAAATACAAATGTCTTGTTGCGCCATTGTTACCAATTCCACATATCTAATCCTATTTTAGCGAAACCGACGAGAAGGGAACTGGGGTGGCGGTTATTTCTTGTAAACAGGGAAGTTGATGGTGTAAGGCCCTTAGCTTAGGGAATTTTGGGTAAGTTGTGCGGCGGATTTTTCAGAAAATAAAAGAAGAAGAAGAAGGAGCTCTTGGGCGCCGTTTTCTGTTTTTGTTAGGGTCTAGGAATTGAAAAACTTAGGGTAGGGTTTCTATAATTGGGTATTTTATATGGAAGTGAGAAGGGATGATGGTCATTGGATTAGAAGGAAATAGATGGCTAGGATTAAATCTTGCACTTAAATGGGCTAATGGTTTGGGAAGAATGGGCTAAGGGTAATTGGGTTGGACCATATTTTTTGTGTCTCAATTTTGGGCTAAGAAGACTCCAAAAATTATTATTTAAAACCATAGTTAAATTCCCTTAATATAAAATAACTATAATACATGATGCAAAAATAAATTCTAATTAATTAAACTAAACTATATTAAAACATGAAACTATTACATATTTTTTGTATTTTTCAAAATTATATAAAGATAAAAATAAGGTACTACTTTTATTTATTTATTTTTACTTTATGAAAGGTACATAAAATAAAATATTTTTTTTAATTTTCATTTTCTTGTAATAAAATAGAGTAAAAGAGTAAAAATGAGTTGAAATAGCTATATCGGGCCTAAATTAAATATTTACGTACTATAATATGAAAAATCTTGGGGAGGGTCAAAAATTACATGTCTACAATAGTAATTGAACAACACGTGTAGCAAATAATTATCAAGTCCTATAAGCATGTTATCTACCCATTTTTGCATGCAAATATTAAGTTCTACCCATTTCCCCTTTTTACTAGCACCCCAATCATTTATACAAATGTTATTAGAGGCCCAATAAAGAATAAAATCAAAATATTTTACAAAAATGATGACAATAAGCCTTCAACATGCCCGACTAAGATACCCAACACCGTTTGGACCTTCAGTAAGCATACCCAGGAATCAGCACAACCCAGAATCCATAGCAGAAATTAAGCTAGATCACACAACCATAGACTGACCAATCGATTTATATATTAAGTAGACCATAGGAAGAGAGGGTTAAGTGTTAGGAACAGTGCAGGTTTCAGCAGTAGAGGGAGTGATTAAAAGACCCCAACTCCTAATATGTCATAGTTCATAAGGGCCTCAAATGGACCCCGAGTAGTGCTCACACTAGGGAGGTCAGTAGTAAGAGCCTTGATAGCCTTGGTTTTCAGCCAGCTAAGAATAAGGAGTTCTGAATAGAATAAGTGACAATGTAGGAAAATGTACAATAGCTGAGGGACAAAAGTGGGGAACACACTTATAACCTAAAGCAGTCATAGCTATGGAGAGCAACTAATCAAACAAGCTAGCTGGTTCAGCAGGTTTCTAACACAGAGCAAAGTACCACATATATAGCCACATATTGAAAGAGTTGGGGAAAGAAACAAGTTTGCAGGATTAGCAGTCATGACACTAAACCAATTGAGGCTTAAGAGGATTAGATTAAGCTAAACATATATTCTAAGGTTATGCTAATCAGTATTTAGATATGACGGGGAATATATTTTGTGATAAACAATGGAAGAAACACGGTATCAAATGGACAAAGAACAGACTGGAAAACATATTAGCATAGAAGCAAGATCATAGTCGATAGAAAATAGTTTTAATGCAAATTGCAACACATTGTACATGCAGAACAACCATTGCAATGACTTAGAACAGTGTAAGATGGCAAACTCATACCAAATATCACATATGGGTATTTTGGGACTGTTACAATAGACTAAACAACTAGAGAAGATTAAATCATGTCACAAAATAGTTCAAGCAGGGCATGGGAAAATAGGTTGAGGTAAATGTAAGATCTCAATCAGTTATAATGGGGTATGTGGTTCATGCTGATTGACAAAATAGCAAGTGAACAGGTCATAATTAAACCATACATTCTAGCATTCATTATAAAAGCTAAAGATAAAACAAACAAGCATGATTAGGGAAACATCCAGACACCCTTGCACTCAGATTACCCAAGTTAGGCTTGGGTAAACACATAATTAGTAGCATTAGGAGGAGAGTCTGATGCTAAAAGACTTAGAACAAGGTAGAATTAACAGAATCACGTGCAAAAGCAATCCAGAAAACATATCGACCCAAGGATTTCAGAGGTGAAAACACATGCAAATCGAAGACATCTAGGGAGGAAATTATGAAGTCAAGCAACTCACTAGTTAAGTGGACAACAAATTAGAGCAAAAGATCAACAAGAACCCAGAAACCTCAATGCATCAAATTTCCTAAGGGCTTTAGAGGACCCTGGGCAATGGTTTCACTAAGAAGAGTTCGGACAGTAAATTCTCTGTGGCCTTGGCTTTCAGCCGGCCACCACAAAACAAAGAACAAGATAATAAAGGAATTTACAAAGCAAAGCTTCAAGTTTTTAGTGAGATCATCTAGATTCAGGTATGTCTAAAGGAAATGGGGGGTGGGTTTATATAGTAGTAAAATCGGATGCACAAACAAGGAAAATAATTGATTAAACATAGGTAAGGAAAGAAATCGAATAAACACAGACGAAGAAAAGGAGAAATCTCATATGCAAGTGTAAAACAACAGAAAACGAAAAAGTATCAAAGTCCAAACCCTAGTTAGGGTTTTAAACTCGAAATCGGACAACTAGTATGAAGGATCCAATTCATCTCGTTTATATGGACAGAATATCACACAAATCTTCAAGATTGAGTCGATTCTCGTCCGATATAAAGGTGGTATTTGCCAAAATTAGGCAAATACTTAAGTATTACCATAATCGAGTAACCAATACCGAAGGAACCCAAATATGCTAAGAAAATAATGGTAAAATCCCATTTTTCAACGGGATTTGGGGAGGGGATTAAGAGGGAGGCGGCTAGGGTTTTTCAGAAGAGAAGAGATATGAGAGCATATGAGGACGGCAGATTGGAGAGAATGGCTAGGGTTTTAGGGGTTTTGGTTAATTAAAAGGGGGGGGG